GTAGGAGAGATACATGAAGACAAGCTTCAAGTTGTTTTAATGAAAGTGTAAAGACTTTATTAGCAAAGAAATATAAAGCTTCTTGCGAATATCTTTTTTGTATGTGGTCAGAGGATCAGCGGAAAGAGTTTTAGTCACAGTAATCTTGTTTATTTAAACCATAATATGTTATCATTAATCTGCATACATATAAAAATATATAGTTTATATAAGATAATTAATGTTATTGCTTATGATTTATTTATTAATAAAAAGTTTATATTTAATATCAATTATACTTTTAAAAATAAAATAAAGAAAAAAAATTATAATTTTTAATTTTTTATCAATTATAAAACTAAAACAATTATTTATAAAAATTATATAAATAATAATTTTGGATTTAACCATTGCAATAAAAATAATTTCTAATATTATTAAAGAGCTATTTTATTTATAATTTTTATTAATTTCTATTTTTATTTATTTATTTATAATTATTTTATTGATATTTTTATTAATACTTATTTAATATAAATCATTTTATCAAATATAACATACAATATAATATATTATCGATTAGATAGTTCAAAAAATCTAAAAGATTTAAAAAATTCAAGTAATACATATAAGTAATTTATTTTTATAAATATATAAGTATTAATAATTCATTCAAAAGTAGAATAATTCTATAGAAATAATTTATCTTATTTTTAAAAGATTAAATTTTTTTTTAGACTTTAGAACTAAAGAAATTGGTTTGATTTTTTTGATTTATTAATTAACTTAAATTTTGAGTAAATTATATTTTTATAAAATATTATATGATACTATTTAAAAAAATTTCTAGTAAATCTATTTTTTATTATTTCTTTATTATTATATTATAAATTGCTTTTTAAATTATTTCTTTGAAAATTTTTCTTTTAAAAACAATTTTACTTGAATATATTAATTAAATATAAATTTGATTACATTATATATAACTTTATTTTAATATATCAATTTAAATTATATTAATAAATTTTAAGATTTTGGTTTTAAAATTATAATAATTATCTTAATATTTTTTTATTCAAAAATTATATTAAAAACTTCAAAATTTAATTAATTAAAGTTAAAAAACTTTTTTTATTAATTCTTTAACTATATAAAAAAAATATTTACAAGAAGTTTGTTACTTTCTTGCTAATAAAATCTTAATATTTTCATTAAAATAACTTAAAGTATAATTTAAAAGGCATTTCTATACTTTATATTTTGTTTACAAATAACTTTACTCAAAAATAAACTTTTGATAATCAAAAAAAATCAAGTAATACTTTTGATATCAATAGTAAAAAGTTTTTTTTTTAAAAAAAAACTGATTGTGAAATACTTGAAAGTCTTTTTAATTTTTAAAATAAAAATTATAAAGATTTTTTAACAATAAAAAGTCACTTTTTTTTTTAATTTCTTGATTCTTTTAAAGTTTTAACTTTTATAATTTTTTGAAAAATTTTGTTTATCTCAGTTTAATCTTCAATTTTGGTAGCACAAATTTTTATTAAAAATAATTGATATGAAATATATAGTTTGTAAAATATAAACAAACTTTTATGGATTATATTTACATGTTTTAATGATATTAATAATACAATAATTAAAAAGAAGATTTTGGAAAATTTTTTTTCAAAAGTCTTATATTCTCAAGAAAGATATTCAAGATATCAAAAGATAAAAAGTAAATAATATGAATTGCAAAATTTTATTCTTTTTAAGTTTTTTAGATAATAAGAAGACTTTTTTAATTAGAAGTTAAAGTTTTTAAATTACTCTTGAATTATTTTAATTTATATTTGTTTAAATAATGAATCTAGTTGAATTGACTCATCTAATATTACAGGTTGTAACAAAAAAAATCCTTTTTAAGGTTCAAATAAAAGCAAAAACATTGTTTTAATTAAACAAATCCTTTGAACTTTTTTGAAAAAACTTAAATTGTATTTTTCTTTTCTTTTTTCTTTTTTTTTATTAATTTGATAATTTATGATTTTCAAATAATCTATAGTAACAAACTGTTGATAATAAATCCAATAGATAAAGGTTTATATCAATACTCTAGAAGAGTGAAATATTGTTTTCTAGATTTGACTTAAAGTACTTCAGTATAACAACAAATTAGTTATTAAGTAAAAAATCTGTAATATTATAAATAGTTATATAAACTTTTCTATAAAAATTAAGTCATATGATATAGTTACAGATTAAAAAAAAAAACTTTAAAACTTAATTAGCTTAATTTAAAATATCATAATTTATATTAAATAGATTTATTTATAATATTACAGAGGAAAATTAAAATTTTTTTTAAAGTTTAAGTGAAAAATATTAGAATATCTAAATAAATTATTAATTTTTGAGAATTTAAGCTCTAATGTATAAGCCAATATATATAAAATAATAAAAATTAAAGATTAACATATAGTTTTAGATTAGTTGCAATATATCAATTATATTATTGATGATAATATATTAATCATCCAACTTCTATTTACTTGAAAAGTGTTCCTGGGTTTACTTAGACAAAGTTACATATATTTTTTGTTAAATGTTAAACAACATTTTAATAAATGTTTAATGACCATTATATGATATTCTTATAATACTGTAGTTTGGTATTTTGATCAATCGATTAGAATTATCACGAAATATAAAAGAAATATAAATAGTTTCATTTTTATTGCAAGATGGAATTCAAATTGTTTTGTTAAATGAGAAATAAATAATTTTATTTTCTAAAATGATATTAATTTGAAGAATCGATTAAAAGAATTTTAATTTATTATTATTATTGCTATTTACTTTAAAATATTATTTAGTTTAAAAAAATTTTTAATGCCATCGAAAAATACAGCATATAAATTTAATGAGTTCAATATAATGACCAGCCTGCGTTGCGATATCCCGTTATCTAAATTTGTCGATGATCAACTTAATATAAATGTTCTATAAGATTTTTTTGTTTGCATTTTAACTTCCAAAATGTCAACAATTCTTTTTAAACGTGCGCTGTCATCTTCTTCTTTTCCACATTCTCTGCATACCTTTTCATTACCGTACGTTTCCATAAGTCGAATTCCGATCGTTCCATGTCCATGTCCATTTTCCTCATACTCAACCGTTCGTCAATTCAGCTCCCTACATGGAGAATTAAGAGAAATACGTGAAGAATTACGAAAACTTGGGTATTTTTGAGAAAAGCATATTTGCGTCGATAGCTATTAATAATTTTGTTCACGCGTCCTAACAATAAAACGATAAAAAAAATTTTTTTTCAAGTCACGGAACGGTTGAATTCAATCCGTCATTCTCCCCAGGCATCGGCCTGATCGAATTGAAAAACGTCGAACGGCATAACGCCATCAGTGGTAAGATGATGGCACAATTTGCTGATTTGGTCGATAGATTAGAACAAATTATAGGTGGAAAGACTAGTTCTCGGGAAGAAGAGGAATTGGTGGCGCTGATCCTGACGGGGAGCGGAAACACGTTTTGCTCGGGATTTGGTAAGATGTACTGAATTGAGGATGAAGAATGAGATCCATGAATGATGTTAAAGATCAACTCCACTGAAAATATTTTGAAAGATTTGAGTGTAGCAAAGCAGCATATTCTAACCTCTGAGAATGGAGCAAGAATGAGTTCTCTAATGCAAGACACACTATTCCGATTTGGTCAACTACCTCTGATATCCGTTGCCGCCATCGAAGGTCATGCGCTGGGAGGAGGTGCTGAACTTTCGACCGCATGCGATCATCGGTGTATGTCAGGTGTGTTGTCACTTTGTCATTCAATTTGGGATGACTTCTCCGAAAGGTGAGGAATGTTATTATTAATATGCCTTCGCCTCGCCTCGCATTAGATACCGCAAAGGTTCGATTTGTGCAGGTGAAGATGGCGACTACACCCGGATGGGGCGGCGGAGGGAGATTGATCAGGATAGTAGGAGGGGTTAACGCATTGAGAATCATGGGGGCTACTGTGCTATTGACCGGACAACATGCGTTGGATATAGGATTTGCTGACGCCCTAGCCGAAAATGGAGAGTCTGCGTTGAATAAATCGAAGGAGTTCTTGGATCCCTATGTGTATTTTTATGCACATAGGGAAGGAGAGTCGGTTTCCGAGAGGAGAAGGAATTCCGTCAGAGCGGTAATTTGCCGAATTTGGGTGAGACTTTTTTCTTTCTCTAATGTAATAAAATATCTTGAATATAGGTTCGAGGAATCAAATCCATCATCGCACGGGCTAACAATGATGAGGCGCAGAAGGAATTCTTGCGATGGGAACATCGCTTGTTCACTAATTATTGGGGTCAACACGAGAATGTTGCTGCGGTAATCGGTTCGTCGAAAAAGGCAGGCAAATAAAAAAAATTTTTTTCAGATGTACTACGTAATAAAAAAATGCATGAGCATCATTACGTAATTGAGCTTAAAAGTTATCCTCAATTAGTGCTTGAGGGGCTCGTGAAAATTGTGCATTACTATTAGCTGAGGCATTTGACATTTCATCATCAAGATTGGATGTGCTGCACATACGTATACACCAAGGGGAATCTATTTGTCAATCTTGGAAGAGTGCGCAATCGTCGGATAAAGAAAAATAAAGCGCAGGTGCGCACGCACGAAGGACAAAACCAAATTCGGTCATCACCGGTACCTCAAACGGAACACAAACCTTCGACTAGAAACGTCTTTTTTTAGTAACGCATCGCAAACCTCTTGGATACAAATGGAAATCTTAAATTAAACGGTGCACGCACCACTTCCCGTCGGTTACCTCATTCAATATATAAGGAATGGTTCTTGTTCTGTGTAATGATTTGTGTTAATTTCCAGTATAAATAAAATAAAATAAAATAAAAAAACCCATGCAGTGTCAAGTTTGATGACGGTCACGCATGTCACAATCATTTATAACTGTGAAAGATGCCAGATCAAAAGGTCATCATCATCTCAACCGCAAATCATAGATATTACATTCGCACTCTGCAATTGCCTTTTTTGCACCCCTTTTCGTCTGCTATATCCTTTTTGAAGCTTTAAGATGTCTGTTAAACAACAACAAATCAATCTCAAGGTCTACGACAACGTCTTGAGCGGGTTCCTCCTGGTTCGACCCGTATGGGTTGACGACGAGACCGTCAAAACCTGTAAGAGTTGTGGGACCTCTTTTACTCCTCTCCGGCGAAAGGTGAAAACAACATTATTTATTATTTGTTTTTTTTCTTTTTCTTTTTTTTTTTTTCACCCAAGGCGCATCGAATTTAATTATCTTGATTGTTATTTTTTTAATAAAGCATCATTGTCGTCAATGGCAAGTTGTGAAACTGGAATCGAGCATGTTTCCTCTTCTCTCCCCCCTTCGTCAATCTGATCTAACAATTCATCAATTTAATACTTCCAGCGGAAATATTTTCTGTCAGGAGTGCACTTCGCGAAACATCGCACTACCACAACTCGGCTACGTGAAACCGGAGCGAATTTGCAATGGGTGTTTCGAAATTGCCTACCTTGTCGGTTACATTGTTTCCGACGACAAATCAACTCAAGTGAGCGGTTTCTCATCGAACCTCGATGCAACGAAATCAACCCATATTGACAATAATGTTTTAATTAGGCGCACGGTGCTAGGGGACTGTTGGACATTGTCGAACGCAAGAATGGTGACTATTATCCTACTCATCTACCTTGTGCATAACATGACCAGTCATCTAACGGATAAATCTCCGATCTGGCAGAACAAGAATTGTCCAATTTCATCACTTATGGAGGACTGGATGCGCTGGTGTATTTGTGTCGAACCTCGCAATCGTACGATCTACACTTCTGGGGGACGACTGCCCTGGCCAACATTTCTGGATATGGTACGTCTCGTCCTTTCTCTTCTACACAACTTGACACCAAGTTAATTCAACCTTTATCACAGACTCCCTCAAGCCATACATCATCATGAAAGGTGGACTTCAGCATTTGTATAACCTCATATTGTTTTACTTTGAAAAATTGGAATCTCAGGATCTTTCAATTACCACGAGGATTTTGGATCACATTTCATCCATAGTTCAAAATATAGGGAATATATTATACTGCTTATCCACCACGGGTTAGTTTGTTGATCGTTGAGGGAAGGGATGTGGAGTCCAGATTAACGAATTGAAATATAATTTCAGATTCCCTATGTCGACGGATGTTACCTGATGATACCTCGTTAGACGCAATCCTCAAATTGTCGAGTTTTCGGATAGGGAACATTGTTGATGACGAGGAGGAAGATGAGACGCTTACGTCTTACGAGGAAATACGACTTCGCGTGGAATTAGCACAGGCCCTAGCATCGAAATCCATCTCGAATCTAGCTGGCAATCATTCTCACCAGCTCCTGATAATCGAGTCCCCAACAGGAAGCTTGGATCGCCTGATGAGCTTGTTACAATCAAACGTTTATGAAGTTCGAAAGTATGCGGCCAAATCGATTGCATACCTGTCCCTAAGGAATGATAAGTATAAGTCAATCTTAATTAAGAATGGTCGGGCCGAGATACTCGCTTCCGTGGTCGATGTTGAAGACGAGGAATCGGCAAAAGCTGATCAAGTCACCATATCTCACGCGTGTTGCGCGATGGTAGGCTCACAACTTGTTGATACCACCTTTATAGGCATAATTGTAATATAAATTTCTAACCAACTTGACTACATTTTGAACATTGCATGCGTTAGGCGAATTTGGCGACAAATGGTATTTACTTGAGTCTCGAATTTCGAGATTTTCCTTTTTTTCCCGAAACTCGTTTTTCACCAACTTCTCGCCATCTCTTTATAGTTGAATCTCAGCAATTCCTGATCCGTCAATCGAATCTGTTATCAAATTTATGTCGGATGGTCAAATACTTTATTAAAGATAGAGAAGTTCAACGGCACATAGCCCGACTACTAGCAAATTTTGCATTATACGACGAAAACAAAATGCGAATGTTGGCTTATCAAATAATCTCAATTGACGATGACACGAGTCAAAGTGAAGAATCCTGGGGAAGCGTCATTTCAACACTTATTGCCATCGGAGATTCACCAGTATCAGATGTGGAAATTCAGCGACACATTATCCGTGCCCTCGATAATCTTTCAACAGACGGTAAGCTGGTATTACGCGCAAAAATTTGTGGATGATGATGGGTAACACGTAAATTTTCACCGCGTCTAATTTAGTTCCGCCGAGATCGCGTTCCAAGCTGAGTCCCTGCATACCTTTAATAAATCGAATATTGGAAATGGTCAAAGATGAAGACATCCGCAAACGAGCTACACACGTGCTGAACAAGTTAACCCCATCCTCACCACCGGTCAGCGATGTCGACGATTTGTTTGAAAAACAGAAATCTTGCAATGGTACCGATTCGCAAGAGTCAGAGTCTGATTTACCCGTCCAAAATCTAATCATTTTTGATGATTGTGACGTTCCACGGTCGGAACTAACTGACGATGATTCAACTTTAGTATCGTAGCCGTATAATAATAGTTAGACGGTACGACGAAATGGGCGTTCTTTCTGAAAGAATTTTTTGTTTTGATCGAATTTGATCAAGTAAAATTTCTCGGACTATAAAAATTGTTTATTTATTTTTCTTTCACCACAAACCATATTACAAAAAAAAAAAAAAAAATCGATACAATCTTCTGCTATCGATTGACATTACTTGAATGTTGAACTAGAAAAGAAAGGAAAAAAAAAAAAAAAAAAGTAGGGAATAGCCCTTGGTAGGATGGATAAATTATACGGAAAAGGTTGTTTTTCTTTTCTTTGATTTTTTATCACTTCATTCTAGGCCGCAGGTAGGTCCAACAACAGTACATAAGCATTTGCACTTTTTACTTTTCTATGTTAAGTTATGCTCTAACTTCGGGTTGTCGGCCAAAAGCGGCATAATCAAAGCAGAGAAGAGAATCAATCTATTGTTTTCTTAGAACGAATTTATTATGCGCTCATGAGCTTTTTTTATCGTTCGAATAATAATTAATCATGTAATTGCGTATTACGACAAAAATCATATTTTCAAGTGAAATAAAGTAGTATTATCTTCGAAACTTAAACCTTTTTTTTCACTCTCGTCAAATCCATCCCATACCTTTTTAAATCATGAACTCCCCCAGCATTAAAGCCGCAAGAACGGAAGCCAAGCACAACTTTTCGGCGATAGAGTTGACTCTTGAGTCACCATCGCCAGTCACATCAATCGAAGGCGTCACGACAGGTCGAAGATTAGGAACAGTTTGAGACGATTCGGGTCGCGACAATTTTGACAGAAGGGTAAATGACTGGAGGGTGGAAGTTTGAGGCACAAGGTAGGTGGTGGTGACGTGTTTCGTGATGCTTTGGGTCGGACAGATTCGATCCAAGGTATGCTTGATTTGTGGAGGTCGGAGATGAAAGGAGTAAATAAAAATTCGAAAAAAAAAAAGAGAGAAAAGAAAGAAAGAGAGGAGAAGAAATGGGATCAACAAGCATTACCTTATAAGCCCTACCCTCATTCACGATATCGATATCATCCGTGCATTGCAAGAAGCAAAGGTGTATCGCTAGTTGAAGAAATTCACGGGAAAAATGAATGAGTGAACACTCAGATCCATTCGTTTTCACGTTTTCCTTCCCTACCTTTATACGCATTGCACAAACAAGTGTAATCGGTTGGAGAACACGCGGATTCGCCGAGATCCCCTTGCAATCTGCACTCATCGTAGACCGCTTTGTTTACGCAGTGAGATTCCGTGGTAGGTATTATCAGGATGAAAAGGATGATCGTGGCGAAGGTTATAAACAACAGGAATTTTTCGGTGTGCATCCTAGACACGAATTTGATATAGAATCATAAAGTAGTAAACTTTAGGAAAGTGATATATACAAACCAGTTTAATACACTACTTGGAAAAAAAGAATTCCTTTAAATTACATTCATCCTGTCAGAACTGTGACTAAACTTTTTATTGACATATTCACGCGGAATTTATCTCTCGCGCCGTAGGGATAAATTGCGCTCGAAATCCGACTGATGCTGATCTAAAATGAATCAATTGATAATTATGGGCGCCGTTAATTTGTTTTCGCCTCGTCTTTGACATGACACGCTGCTGGCGTGCAAGATTTGATTTATTGTTAAATTGATAGATTTACAAATGAAAAATTAACTCTTTTACTGCGGAATTTGCGAATGAAACCAGTACCTAAGCTACTATCTTTTGTCATTTTCTTAAATAATAATAATCTGAGGATCACACTTCACTCCGAGAAAACAATTACTGTGTATGACTCTTACGAGAAAATTTATTGCGTTCATCCATAAACGGAAAATCATCATAATACTCGCCACATCACCATCCTCTTCCCGGAACGTTGTAAGCATTTTCCGCATCAATCGGAGATATCAAAGAACGGCGGTTTCATGTTAATAAGGTCCGTCATCTTACACGTGGTTGAATCAGCCTGCGATGAAACAAGTCGCGTTGTACATGTACACGCAGAACACATACGTGACGGTGATGCCTCCAAACTCAAACAAACCAAAACAAAGAAATAAAGCTTATGTACAGTACAGTATACGTAATATGCAACTGCGCATGTAACAATCAATGTAACACCGTTTCAGTAAAACTTTCGAATTTTCAACGCATTATAATGTTACGCAAATGTAAATAGATTGTAATTTTTGCGGACAACTTACTATTTTAACCTCTATTTCTAACTTTTTTAGACATGAAGGAACTCACCTATAGCGTTCTCCGGTCGAATCCGTATTATCTACGTACATGCGTATTATCGTGACACGCGGTCCAAGTCGATAGCACATCAATCACGTATCCATCGGAATAAAAAAATTGAACAAATTGTGTTGGAATCTCCATAATGCGCACAAATAAAGTAAATAAAGTTATTTTGTACTCGTCGTGTGTTGTATATAGATATAAATATTGTAGGGATAAGTTGACAGATTTGCTGAGTTTCGATTTTGTATACACCGACTAACCATTTCTTTCTTTCTCTGAACTCGCAGTTTTTTTTTTTTTTTTTCGATTTAAAATAAAATTATGTAAATTAGTTTCTATCTTGTTCCCATATAATTACCACCTTCATTCTCGTTATTTATCATTATCATTATTTTTTTTTTCTCCTTTTCTTCTTTTCTCTCGTTGGCATAATTTTTTTATCGAACTATTCTATAAAAACCAAAAAGGATGAGTCAAAGCATAAATGAAACAATCCTTAGAGAAAATGTCAACCCTTGCACTTCATCGAACCAACAGTTCACCGTGTCTCCATCAACCTCAACAAAAAAATCTATCTTCTCGAGAAAACCACAATCTCAGAAGATTCTAACAACTCAAATGATACAATTGGACGAGTCCGATCCTGACTACATATCGATCAAGGAGGGCTTCGGAATTAATTTAAACAGTACGAGGGCGAACATTCTGGCCATAATGAAATTACAGATGCCAACAAAGTTGGAGAAGGCTCATGAAAAGTATAAGAAAAAGATGACCAAGAAGTTGGGAATGGATGCGGAGGAGTTTACACACAAGATGCATCATGGGACAAAGAGCTCTGCTGGGTGTGATCTCAGGAGATTTATAATGAATTTTGAGGCAGGTGAAAGTGGCTTCGGTAACGTAGAGTATGATCCCACCTTTTGTAAAGAGAACTGTGGGGTGTGTGGAATTGCACAATGTGGCAATAAGAGAAAGTATGCCAGAACGAAGTCTTTGTTTAAGAGGAATAGTAAGTATTTACTTGCCTATGATGAAAGCTTTGCGCGAACACACGGCACTATTAACCCCTTTAAATTGTATCCCCTAGGAATGTGGTTCGCAAAAGATCCCAGCGTGTCGTTAGGCTTCTGTAACTATGGTTATAAGGACACTATAAAAGGGATGTTTATTGTGGACGTCATACACAAACGTGATGAGCACATCATCATCACAACTAAAGAAAGGGTAGGCCGCTTTCTTTTGGTGATCTCAAAATTATACTTGTGAATTGACGATTTTGTCGATTTTTTTCCCTCTCTTGATCAGGCCACTTTGCCGAGATATTTGATTATATTCGAAGTACCGGTAAATCCTTTTTCATACGAAGACTAATCAGAAATTCAGTGTTAACATTCAATTCTAGAATCAATTATTTGCCTGTCTATTCGACTAAACTGATTTTGATGTGTTCGAAAACTTGTATATCATATTGTATTTTATATGCATAATTTATTTTAATCGCAAGCCTCGATATTGAACTGTCGATTTCTTTCTTTCTTTCTTTCTTTCTTTCTTTCTTTGGTTGAACACACACGATATATCGAACTCATATTTACGTGTTTCAAACAGTACGTTTCTGGTGTGAATGTTAATCATACGATTAATAGATCGTCATAATGCGTTAGATTCACACACAAACATTGGAAAATTCCTTGTTTGTAATTATTATTTGATTTACTCATTGCACCATAAATCATTAATAATATCCTTCATTTGTTGTTATTATTTTTATTTTTATTTGCCGTAGTCAAATTTCAAAAACATATTAATAATGTTATTGAATAAAGAAATAGTTAATTGGTATTCCAATTCTCTCTATTTCTCCAATCAAGTTTATTCAATTTCATGATCATAAGATCAATAAGATTTGGGCAACATGTTTTCAAGCTATTGTTTTTCAGGTAGAATCTCTATACTTTTACCACTCTAGCCAGTGAAACTATTGAAAACAACTTTCTTTTAATTCAATAACAATCAAAACAATAAGTTTTCAAATAGGACAGATTAAAAAATCCCAAGTTATTGTTGTAAGATCAAAAGGTATAAACTCAAGAAATATAATTTAAAAGATAGTAAAGAAAAAATTATCAAAATACATGCTCTTCATTTCATTTGAAAAAGAAAGAATATTATAATAGGATTTATTTTATTAAGAAGAGGTTCTAAAAATTGGATCTTTGAAAAAAAATTGAATGTTTAATTTTTTTTTCTTTCTTTTTTATTTGTATATCTTTATCTTAATTTTCTTTTATAAAATATTTATATTTGATTAATAATATAACAAATAATTAGATATTGATTATTTTTTAGAGCTATTCGATTATTTTGATTTATAAATTAAGATTAAACCTATATTAATTGCTTATTTAAAAAACTTTTATTGCTTGCTATTGAAGAAATTCCAATTTTTTATAGTTAAACAAAATCTTGATTAAGGATAATTAAATTTTTATTATATAATAAGTATAACTTTTTTATATTATTTAAATTTGGGTAAACTATTTTACAATAATATTAAATTAAAAATAGTATTTAATAATTTAAAAGTATTATTATTATATTATTGATTTATATATAACTATAAGTTTTTAAAATATTTAGTATATAAAATTTTACAAATTATTTGTATCTCTTTTTGAAAAGACAAATTTATAATTCTTTACTTTAGTAAAAACAAAATTTTAAAAAATATTATAAATTAATAATTTAGATAATAATAAATTATTGTGATCTTATTTCTCTTTTAAAATACTTATTTTTATTTATAAAACTTATAAAAAACCATAATTATTTTTGTAAAAATTATTGGTATAGATTTAAAACATTATTTTTAATATTATTTTATATCTAATATTATTTTATCAAATATATATATATTTATTTATTTTTTTTTTAAATCTATTCAATTATATTTATTAGTAATAATAAAATAAAATATAAAATATATTGAAATTGCTAAAACTATTAAAAATATTATTAAACTTCTTAAAATCAAATAGTTTATAGAATTACATTTTATTGTTTCAGAATAAAAAAAAACAAATTCAAAATTATTTTTAAATTAGTATTAAAAAATGCAAAAAAATACCAAAGAGTTACTATGTTAAAGCATAAATTTCCTTTATACTATCTATTTATTAATAATCAATATCAAGGATAAAGTTAATATCTACAGATTAATTATTATAATACTTTGTCACTTTATTTTTAAAAAATAAAAAAAGAGTTTCTTCTATATTTTCTTCTTCTTCAAATAAAAATAATAGTTATAAAAATTATATTATTTTATCTGAAAATTTAATTAAAAAATTACTTATTTAAAAATGTAATAAAGTCTATAATTAAAAAGATATTGTATCTTAATCTATAAAGAGATTAACAATCTAATTTTAATGATAATATTAACTTCAAATATAGATTGCTTATTTAAAAAAATATATAATTTTTAAAGATGGTTCAAGTTTTTAAGAAATCTTTTATTTTAATAATAGTTTTTAACCAATATTTTATTACAAGTAAAAATAATAGATATTATTAATAATTTAAATTATTATATTAAAAAGAAAATCATATTAAAAGTTTTAAAATTGGTCTTTAGTTTATAATTATCTTACAAATTATAAATTAAGAATAAAAAATCTATCAGCTATGAAAAACTTTCTATTTATCTTATTTGTTTTTATAAAAATAAAATCTATTTGACTGCCAAGGATAAATAAGTTTAATATTATCAAATATATATATTATAAATATAAATATATATTTATTTATTATAATTTTTGATAAATTATATTTAAAATCTTTTATATTTCTAAAGATTAAAATTTTTTTTTTTTTTTTTAACCTACAATCATACCACAATGGTGTATCTTTATTGAAAAATTGAAAATGAATTTACAATATTTTACAAACTTTCACAAAGTGATTAACTCATCTTCATACAAAAGTACTCTAAGTCAAATTTTGGAAACAATATTTCACTCCCCTAATAGATTGGTAATAACCTTTATCTATCAGGATTATTGCCAACAGTTTGTCACTGTTGATTGCCCGAAAAT